AGGCAGGAGTTCATTTCCTGTCAGTGTCACCTGCACTGTGAGATCATTTAGAAACATCTGTGCTGTCATATTAAGATTTTTATTTATTTTGATCAGGCAGCTATAAACTCCTTGTTACAAGTTTTCAGCAGCATAGACGAATGAGTTTGACATCATAGTTTTGCAAAGTGTTTCACAGTCACTATGGGTTTCCCCTCACTCTAATCCCAACTGGCACCACTACAGGAAACACTACCTGATGGGTGAACAGACGTCAAAGACAACACTGGCATTCATGAAAGGAAGTGATAGCTTGGAGGCATACAATTCCCATGGATCAGACAATTTAGAACAGATCCGCAACTGGAAAATGTTCTCCATTCCTGTCCCTCATTTTCATGTTATATGATATTGAATCACTACTATTGTCCTCATGAAGCAAACACACACTGTACACATTAATCAAATTTACAAGCAGAATCAAAAAGCACATTGGTCATTTGAGTGGATTCGGCTCATTTGTTCTTCTCAAGAAGTTCCTGGTTTTGAATCCACATTTTACACGTATCCACAATTTTAAATGCAATGTATTAAGAAATCTCCCCCTTGTCAATGCTTGTCATGTTGGAAGTAGATATGCTATCCAGTGGCAAAAGGTAAAGACGCTGTTCAATGCATTGCTTTATCTCGTAGAGTTTAAAGCAAAAACATAGCTGTTCTGAAAGTTATAGGTGAGTACAGAACTCTGTATGTGTTAGCTCTGTAACTGCTGCTCCCCCAGTGCATGCTGGGATGGATTCTGAAAGCCTTCAACTCTCAGTCTGATCCATAAACAGTGATTTTGCCTTGCCATCTTTCTGGACTGTCATGTTAAAGCTTACACAGGTCTGTAGAAATTCGAAGCCCCATGTAAGAAGTGGACATTTTTTATGTCGTTTATTGTTGTTATTAGTTAGTTTTGAGTCGTTCAGCTTATAGAGAATCCAGAGACTGATGAGCTCCTCTGCTCCCTCCACCCACCACTGACAGAGTTATGATACCCTGCATACCTGTGTGTGTGTGTGTGTACACTGAGACATGTCTTCAGGGCTTATATTCACAGTTGAGCAGCAGCTCTGTCAGAGTAGTTACTGGAAAGATTTAAAGTCTCATTCTGAAATAGAAAACATTCAATAGTGTTATTTTTTTTTTATGTGAGACATCACTCCACGAGTGCACTGATTGTATTTGATCTACTGACAAGTTCAATAGAACTGTATTCTGTGTTTGGGTAAGGGTGAAAAAGTTAAAACAGTGAGTAATATTCAGGTCAAATTCTTCAATAACACAATCTTTCCATCCTATGTAAATCATAAAATTGGGCTAAAAAATCCCACATTCATGTTTTCAGGTGTGTGTTCACCTTGGCTGCGGTGTTGTCTGTCAGTTCAAAGCTCTACATGTTAAATCAAGCGCTTCTCACATTCTTCAGATACCAGCAGCTCTTTTTTTAAACCATCTGCTGCTCTGCTCCTTTCAGACCTCGTAACCATCACCTGCTCTAAGGTTACGTTTGCATTTTGACAATTTGCTCATGCACATGTGCAGAGTGCTACAGGAGTGAAAGCTGATACATCCACCTGAAAACACTGAACTGACCAGTCAGGAGGTTTAAACAAATCATTTTACTTGTCAAAATGAGTTTACATTTCATGGTCAGTACCACTCAACCCGTGGCTACACCCAAAATGCTTCAACACAGTTGGTAGATGGAACACACACTGTGGTGGATGGACATCTTGTTACTTCTGTTTTTGTCTTGCTTTTGATTGCAGCTGAAAGTGAAGGTTTTATAGTGTACTGATGGGTGTCAATGGTTTATCACCCATCACACTCACCAGATGACTTTCAGTAGATATTATGTGTTATGTACTATTGGGAAGAAACTTAAATTATATTCACACTGAGCGTTCTTCTGGTGCCAGCGTGCTTTGGTTCTGATAACCTATTCACAAAAATATTTAAAATATTGGCATTTAATTTCTGTTTTATTGTTTCCTGTTTATGACCAGCTGGGAGTCTTTACTGTCTCACAGTGTGTCATTACAGGCATCTGGACCCAACTGCGCTCTATGTGTGTGTGTGAGGCCTCTGCATAGTGTGTCTTTCATTGTTTATTGTGTTGCATAATCAGACAAACGGTGCTGCTGCTACAGAAAGGCTTTGTTCAGACTGATTACAGCACTGTGTTAACACACACAGGGTCTGCGCTGGTGTGGATGTGTTGTTACAGATACAGGTGAGAAGATAAAATATGAATCAGGAAGTCCAGTTAGAGATAGATCCATTAGCCCATTCACCCACGTGTCCACTCTTTCGATGAAAAGATGAAATCCAGATGTGATACAACAGCAGGTTACAGTTTCTATATGATTGAATGTGTTCACTGGAACAGCTTACTTTCTCGAATGACGGTTAATTTCACTCGAACTGAAACTAAAACAGAGAAAGACATTATAAGTGGGCACTTCCACAGATCACTTACTTACTATAAATAAATATACCAATACCCACGAGTGTCTGTGCGGACTGTTTACATGCAGCCTAGAATTTATGACCAAACGTATGTTTGGCATTGACCACATGAACCCACAAACACGTGAACACGTCAGCCAACGACTCCCAACATAGTACAAACAGGACTTACGGGACTGTGGTGACCCTAGCTGTCTCGTAGTGAATTTAACAATGGTATTTTTGAGGTGGTTACGTTAAAAAAAGGGAGTGCTCTCGGTTTGTGTCTGTTGATGAGGTATTATCTCTGGACATGAGGAAGCCGTGGGAGTCAACTGAACCATGAGAATTCTGTTCTGTTCTTCTGTCCCTGTCTACAGACATCAGGGGCTGATGTCAAGAAACGCAGACAGCAGGAGGAAATGAATTAATGGGCAGACTTTTCTGCTCAATGTGTTTGGAAACTGATTATTTAAGTAGATGTCTGTGCTTCGCTCAGTTGAAGCATCTGGTACAGACAGTCCGTAGCTGTATACTGTAGCTTTTCCTGAATATGCATAAGAAGCCTTTCAGGTGCTGCAAGTCTTTTCTTATTCTTGCTCAACCGTCTTGCACATAAAGTCCTAAAAAATATGATGTTCAGTCATGTTTTTGCAGGAAAACATTATTAAAATTGTGAATTGTCTTGAAGAAAAGTTCTAGTTTGGAGTATTATGGATCTTGGAGAGGAGAATGCATTCATACCTATTCTATCTGGTTAGATATATTAGATGTATCTCAAACTTTCTCCATTAGCAAGGGACTGAAATATGTCTCTATGATTCTCTGTTGCATTTACACTTTTTTCATACCAGATAAGTGTCCTATCTGCCAAAACAATGCACAACGGTGTATAATCTAAGTTTACATAGCCAAAATCATTTCAAAATACAGTAGATCTACACCATTAACATTATAATCTACCTGGAATGTGTGTTTGGAATTATTTGATTGGCCAACACTTGCTGGATTTTGCCACGTTGTTTGAACAATGACTCCACAACATGAGTTTTCATGTTAAAGATGGATCCACCAAAGGGTCTTATATTTCTGTTCTATACTGTTCCATTGTGTGTTCTGCTGTTCTGTTTTGTTCTCAGTGAACTCTGTCTCATTCACCCCTCAACCAGAAAGAGAGAGAGGGGGAGAAAGCGAGAGACATGCAGATTCCTGTGTGTAACAGTAAGAGAGAGAGAGAGAGATACTTGGAGAAAGGCATGTGGATTCCTGTGTGTTTGTGTGAGCGAGAGACGTAGAGAGGGAGAGAGGAGGAGAGAGAGAGAGCGAGAGAGAGAGAGAGAGCGAGAGAGAGCTCTGGGTTGCGTTGAATGTTAGGAATGTTGAGGCTTTTGGCTTCAGTTTGTTCTGACTGAGGGAGGAGGAGATAAAGAAGGAGGGAGGAGGAGAGAGGAGGGACAGAATGAGAGGAAAAGGAGGAGATGAGGAGGGAGGGAGGGAGGCAGGGAGAAGGAGATAAAAAAAAGGAGAAGACAAAGGAGAGGAAGCAAAGATGGAGGAAAAGCAAAGCAGAGAGAATTATAAAAGAAGTAAAATACTGTAGTTCATGCCATAATCCAGGCTGCAACTAGTGATTCATTTCATTGGCAATATATCTGCTGTTTATTTTTAACTTAAAGTTTTATCGGCTGTCATTGGTTTACAGTCGTCATACTAAGATTACACTTGATTTTAAACTGTACATGCCTCAGCAGCTTTAGTCCTCCATCAGTGTTATACAAGATGCGTTCGGCACATAATGCTGTGTAGGTCAACAACAGCATTCAGAGCTCGCCACACAGTCGGTGTAGTTACACGTGTAAGAGAGAAAAGAATAGACTCATAGCATAAGAAGAGAGTTTGGGCTGCATTAATGCGTGTGCAGTGTGAGTGAAGTGCCTGATTTATTCTAAAGTATCAACTACATAGGGACAAGGAGCGAGGACAGTAGGAAAGTGAAAAGCACTGTCAAGCCTATTTAGTCATGTAGGTATGAGGGCTTGTTGCAATAATGTAAGTGCCCCTAAACTCACTTCACACTCACAGCCATTTCATTTCATCCACAGTTTCAGCCTCAAATACAGTAAAAAATACTGTTTCCATGTCTTTAAGGGTAAAATAAATCCTGAAATACTCCAACAGGAAGCAGTTTGAAGTTACAAAAACAGTTGATGTTGGTGTTGATCTTCAGTTCTAAGACTGGAACAGATAAAATGTCACACTGGATGAAAAAAAACCTTTGCTGTCTTTTTCTTTCTCTACTTTCTCTATCTCTCTCTCTCTCTCTCTCTCTCTCTCTTGGACTCTTTTTCTCTTGATTGCTTTTACTGTGTCTGTCTCTCCATGTTTTTTTCTCTCTCTCTCTCTCTCTCTCTCTCTCTCTCTCCCCAGTCATGTGATTTTGCTGTAGAGATGAGCAACAGTGCAGGAATCTGAGCTGCAGCCAACACATTACATAAAGCTCTCTCTCTCTCTCTCTCTCTCTCTGCCAGAAAATAAAAAGTGGACCGCTGCGTTCTCGAGCAGCTCGGCTGAACTGAATGAATTCACTTCCTGAAGGCAGAACACAGATCTACGTCAGAAAAGAAAGATTGTTTCAAGAGCTAACTGTATTGTTCATCTATCTATCTATCTATCTGTGGTGTGTCCATTGTGCGCTATTGTAGAAACATGGCAGTTTAACGTGATAGACTCGCTCTCTCTCTCTCACACACACACACACACACATATATTTATACAGACGGCTGACAAATTTAAAGGGAAAACCTGAATAAATGGAGGAGAACCATAACAAAGGCAGATGCTTTTATACCGGACACAAGGGCTCATTGAATGGTTCGATGAAAATGAAAATGATGTGAATCTATTGTTCTATTAAACACAAATGGGAGATTGGAGAAGGGTCCAGAGATTAGGAGGTTTGTGTTAGTTTGTCACCCATCTGTATATATATAGGCTATATAGTTACATGTGTGTGGTATACACTGATCAGCCAT